CATAAACTTACCTGTAGTGACACCTGAGTGCTGTATTTTACGTGTATGTGATTCTCATAGTGTCAGGACATGTACAGGAATGTTATAGGTTTCATACTTATACTTTTTATATAGTTTAGGCATTGTAATACAAAAAAAACTATGAAAACAGCTATTTTATTGCATTATTGCCCTTGTAATTCATTACTATTGATGTCAGGCTACATTTGAAATATTTTTCTGTAAAGTACACATTCTTAGCTTTCCAATGATATCTGGCATGATATGGTAAGTTGAGGGGAAAATGACAAAAAGACAGTAATACAAAGGTAGTACCCCCTATTTCAAAAGGGTCTGGAAACCCTGGCACAGAGGGGATGTATTGGTGAGAAACACTGGCAGCTAAAGGGTTAATCATTTATTTTGTAAATAAGAGCCTCATTTGCATGGATTAGATTCAGTTCATCATATTCTTCACCCAATGACAGCCTTATTTTAACAAAAAGGCTATTATAGCTGTTCCTCATAAATTATGCAGATGAGGTCATGATTTGAATAAATTATGTTTATTGATGTTCACCTTCTCTTAATTTCCAAATGTAGCGAGTATGAAATTCCTACTGCAGTTACAAGTATGAAATTATACAAATTTGCCATGAATTATGCAAATTAGGTCCTCATTTACATAATCTATATCCTCAGATGTTTTTTCCCGTTCTCAAGTAGATGTCACAAGTGTTTCATAGTTCTATTATCGAACAAAGCAGATTTATAGAATGTCCTCATTAACTATGCAAATTAGCTCCTGATTTGCATAATTGTCATCTGATTATGTCAAGCATCACTTCAACTACCTACATACCAAAAATCACGACAATCCGTCAACCGGTTCTTGAGTTATCGTCCTTCAAAAATTTTTCAACAAATGCACCTGCAGTTCCAGAACAAGCAGCTAGGGGACCCAAACTTATGTCACTTCTTCCCTATCCCAAGAGCTATCTTCCATCCAAAATTCATGACCCTAGCATGTCCAAATCACGAGATATCAAAACCGGAAGTTCTGCTGCAGTACCTAGGAAAGCCGCCAGGGGGCCCAAAATCTAATCATTTCTAAGTCTCATAAAGACCTAACCACCTACCAAGTTTCATTCCAATCCATCCACTGCTTCTTGAGTTATCTTGCTAAACCACACACACACACACACACACAACACACACACACACAAACGCTACTGAAAACATAACCTTCTTGGCGAAGGTAATTATAAATCTCCTGTGACTCATATAGTCATAACTACAGGTTGCATGATTTTTAACGTTTTAAAGACATCCAATGGATTTTAGGTCAGCAAAACTGGAAAATTCATATTGCGTTATGCATAACACAATCTGTACGCTATTGACACATACTGTCCCATATTGGCACATTCGAATAATTGCCTTCGCCAAGAAGGTTATGTTTTCAGGGGAGTTTGTGTGTGTGTGTGTGTGTAAACACAATAACTCAAGAAGGCCTTGATGGATTGTCAAGTTGATATTTGGTACATGTAGGTCGGTAGGTCTTGATGAGACCTCAAAGAGATTAGATTTTGGGCCACCTGGCGGCTTGTCATGGTACTGCAGCTGAACTTCAGGTCTTGATATCTCGTGATCTGGACATGCTAGGGTCACAAAATTTAGATGGTAGGTAGCTCTTGTGCTGGGGATGAAGAGACATGAGTTTGAGCCCCCTAGCTGCTTGCTTTGGAACTGCAGGAAGGTTTGTTAAAAATGTTTAAAGGAGAATAACTCATTGACAAGAGACTCATTGCCCTACTTTCTGTGACCCCGGGGCTCCTTCACTATACACTCAGGGGAGGAGTGCACTGTATCTGTCTAGATACCAAGTCTTCCTCAAAATCATGAAATGATGGCAGTGACATGCAAACAATAACGTTAACAGCAACCACTGTCGCCATGGCAATGTATGTTTTCATTGCCAGTCTTGTTCATAGATGTTGTTTGTACCTGCAATTAGCCCTCGGGCCTGTATTTGCAATAAAGAAATTCCTATTAATCTTACGACATCGCCATCCTCTGAACTGAGGGGACACTGACGTGGAGCTACACATCTACTGCCAATGATGATTAATCCAGTGGGAGTCCCACATGAAGAAGGTGCAGACTAACATGTCCATATTGACTCACCATCTCACTCGGAGGGGAATGGTAAACGTTCTCTGACATGGTCGTCATGGCGTCGTTCTCCGTCAGCGTGCCCGTGCTGCTGATCTCGTCCGCCACGCGGTACTGGCTGAACTTGGCCAGGCTGGACTGGGCGGCGGACGGGACGGTCTGAGGGGCAGAGTGGTGCGAGCCGCTGGGCTGGGGACGCTGGGAAGGGTTACTGGACTGGAAATTCAAACACGAAAATCAAACAAGGTTTATCATGATTCTCAGCAGGATTTTTCACAGGTCAGGGCGTCAGGTACAGAAGGACAACTTTCCACAGCACAAGACCACATTGAGTCCCAAAAGACCACAATAGGGGGACTGGTATTCTCCCCCAAAAAATTTAAAACTTTTTAAACCTATATTCATAACCCCTGAGACACTCTTCCATGCCTTATCAAAGCACAAATTTTGTTAAGTTATACTTTCCCTCTCTTAGGGCACACCAATTTAATTTGATGGTTCTCGGATTCACCTCTTCATTTTTTTCTGATTTGCAATTCTGGTTCTGAATCAACTCAAGATCAAGATGCTCATATATTGCCCCTAACAGTTGAGGAAAGTCCTTTTCTTCCTCGTTGTTACAATTTCTATCAATGCAGATGTGATTGACTAAAAGTTCAAAATTCATTGTTTAAATATCAACCCTTTTGTGTTGACTTCATATGGCTCCTATCGTAGCAGTTTGGGCTATAATAGGATGCCTAGACCTGTTTTTATAAATTTTTTTTTACCCTGTCGCTTCATATTTTTTCCGAAAAAATCTGAGAACCAACAAATTAAATTGGTGTACAATAGTCTATTTGTGTTCACACTAGGCTAAATAAACAACGTTTTCTATTTAGACTAGTGTGAACACAAATCTTTTAGGGGTTTAAATCCAATTTTCAAAAACCACCTCGTGAGGTGATTTGGTAAGGGTTTTTGAGGGTTTTTTTCTGCCAAAAACCTGGTCTGAATGCTAAGGGTTTTTACGTCCTAATTCCAGGTCTACAGGGTCAGCATCTGGGCCATGTGCGACCTCCAAGCTTTTTGATTGCATTGTTTTGAGTTCATTTCCATTGTTTTTCCATGGTTTTTCTTGATTTTGCAATGGAATCAACATACGCAACCTGGTCGGCGGATGAGACCAAGCTCCTGATATCATCTATTTTTGGAGAGCAGGAGACGCCAAAGAAGCTGTGGGGGGGGGGTGAGCTGTACTGAAACAAAAATGTTTACCTGTCAATTTCAGTTAAGTTGGGGAGCACTGTCTCTCGAAGATAACGGAGCAGTGCCAAGGTAAGATAAAGAACCAGAAGACGACATACAAGAAGGCCAAGGTCAACAATCAGAGCGGGAGGAGCGGTTATTCAAACTGAAATCATGGCTGATAAATTGGATTAAATTCACCGGATAGGATTTTTACGAAACCGGTTATGTCAGTCTGGTATGAGCGTTAAGAGGTTTTAGCTGACATTGAATTCAGAATTCGAATTCTGTACCTCTTGGCTCTGAGCCGAATGCTCTGCCGTTACGCCACACGACCCCCCACCCCCACAATGTCAGTGTGTACATAGACTGAAAATATCTCCTATACGTGTTTACATGTCATTGTACATGTTTACTCAAGCCTGTATGTATTTCAATTTTTACCTTTCAGAGAAGGGTATGTTTTTGGTTGGGGCTTGGTGGTGCAGCTTGGTGGTGTGGTTCTGTATGTATGCCAACATCATAACTCATAACAATTTGTGGATGGATCTTTTTGACATTTTATGTACAAGCACTGCCCTTAAAATTTGGGATAGTTTGGAGCAAATCCTTTACCTGCTGGACTGAGCTGCTGCTAGAATGACTGGACATCGGCCTGGTCTTGGTGGTCAGCAGGTCATTCAGGGTCTTGTATTGTTTGGTGATGTCAGGGAAGTCCTCCCCCTGCACGCTCCCCGGAGTGGTTTCACCCACTTGTACAGTGTGCATCTCTGCAGACCCTGGATGGGACAGATAGCAAAGATTTACAACAGATAGACACCTGAACCTGACTTGGCATCCTGCAACAGTGCCAACAGTTCTTCTGCCCTTTTTTCCACAAGGATAAAACAGTTGGGATCGGGCCGAATAGATTGGCTTCGATCCCGACAATTCTACCCTAGTGGAGAAAGGGCCTCAGTTACACAACAAGACTTAAATATGGAAACCTCAGATGTCCATAACATATACTTCCTAAATTATGAATGGTGCAGGTAAAATTTGTTACCTGCACCAGTGTACGTGTAGGTACATGTAGGCCTGGGTCATAATCAGAAAAGCACAAATTTAACTAGGTATGTGTAGAGAAGACTCTTACCATGTGGTGACCGGTCAGGTGCAGACGATCTCTGAGACTTCCTGGACTTCTCAGACACAGCGAGTGAGGAGTTGGAGAGCGATCTCTTCAAGGTGCCAAAGCTCACCGACATGTCTACATTTTCTCCAGAGTCTGACAGACCCAACTCCTGCCGAAGTTTGTTGCACACCTCAGAGTAGCTGCATGGAGAACGTGACTATTTCTTAAAGAGGCATTATGTGACATTTTTCAACCCCCAAAATATAAAAACTGTCCTAAAAAAAGAAGAAGAAAAGGACTTTCCTCAACTTTTGGGGCAAAATATGAGCATATTTCAGTTGATTCAGAACCAGAATCTTTTTTTTTGTAAATCAGAAAAAAATGAAGAGGCAAATCCGAGAACCAACAAATTAAATTGGTGTGGCCTAAGTTCAAACTGTAATTCCCAACACAAAGAATTAGAACACAAGGACAAGGACCATGAGGGACTAAAGAGGTCATCTACATCCGGGCACTATAACTTTCCCTCAACAAAGATGGGGGGGCACAGACTCTCTGCAACTTACGCCCCACTGTTCACTGAGTCACTTGTGTCATCTGCATAACGTGACACCAAGGAAGCAGTGGATTGCTCATTCTTTGACAAAGACTGGAGTGGCACAGTTGAAAATTTGAGAAAGTAATTTCTTGGAAATTACAGTTTAAACTTACTGCAGAACTTAAGTTTAGTTTACCTGACAACAGTGTGGGTACAGACGATGAACTCAGGCTTGGAGTTCCACTGGTTGTAGGTAATGTAGTATCTAGTCTGGAGCCAGATCCACTGCTGCCCTTTGGTTAGGAAGCGATAACAGCAGGAGGTTCCTTCACCACACTGCATTACTGGAGTGCAGGACAGAGATACGTTTAAAGTAGATGTAAATGTAATATGTAGGGTTCTAACATCTTAAGTCTGGCAAACACACAAACATTTACATTTGCACACAGAGTCACACACACACACAATCATTAACATGTGCACACCCATATCTTTTTATATACACAAACATTAACACATGCACACACATACATGTACACACACACAAACATTAACACATGCACACACACATTCATGCACACACAAACAAACATTAACACATGCACACACACATTCATGCACACACAGTCATGTATACAAATACACCCACACACATTCATACTGACACACAATGCAAACACATGGACACGAAAACATTCACATACACAAAGTCATGCACACACAAATATTCAGAAATGCAAACATACACACATACACAATGTACACACATATACATACATCTAAAGGCGACCTTTATCCGACGCAACCTTAATCCAACACTTTTCAACACTCCTCTGTCTGTTAGGATTTAGCACTGATATGCAAAATCTTTGAATTGCTTTACAAACTCAATAAGGTATACAGCACAAAAACTTGTAACAGTGAGCTCACGAAGCCAACATGTTGTGGAGACGAGGTCATGAAATTTTCAGCTTGTTTTTATACTGGTACGGCATGTCGTGGGAGGAAGCTTCCGGAAGGACAGTGGTCAAAATTTCTCCTTTACATCCTCATTCTACACATTCAACATCACAGCGAATAAAAAAAAATTGATAAAGTGTCTGTTGCTGACAAACCACTTGCCTAGAAGTGTCCTTTTTAAGCACTGAGCAAGTTCGTTACGGTCATTCAGCGGCTGATTGAACAAAACCGCCATTTTGAACACTTGTTGTTGAAGACGATACCACTAGTCTGTACGTGGATGTGGCAAATGATCGCAACACTTGTATTTTGCCAAAATTAGTGACGAATACTTAGGAATAGTGCAGAATAAAGCTTTCCGTATGGTAACGTTATCGTAGCCTCTACCAGGCTCCGCGGATCGCTGGAAAAATAGTAGAAATTGGCCGAAATAAAGGGACCCGTGGGTCGCAAATTGGAGCTTCTATGGCCCTGGATCTTCTCTGGTATACTATCCCTTTATTTCGGCCAATTTCTACTATTTTTCCAGC